TATTGTCGGGATCTGCGTATGAACAAAACTGTAATGAATATTCTCACACAGTGATAAATAAATCATGGCGCTTACCCTTGACACTTGCGATTCGGAAAAATTTGTCCATATTTGAATATATTTAAGCCGCCAACACTAATTAAGTAATTTTCACGTGTGTTCCCCAATTTGCCAAAAACAGTGATGTGAAAATATAGGAAATGCTGAACACTATCGTCCACTATCAGAACCAAAACATCGATAGTGTAACGCACGCACAGCAAATTCGATATATCGATACTATCATGAGTGGTTGACACAGCTCTAATGGTGGATTTTCCAGGCCTATAGCCACACTGATAAGGTCCAATCAGTTCGTTAATGGTGGGCTTCAGTCTTTCGCACAATACACTCGATAAGACCTTATAACCTATGCTTAGAAGGCTGATTCCGCGATAGTTGGCGCGAATGGCGAGGTCGCCCTTCTTGTGAATTGGGCAGAGCACACGTAAATTCCAGTCGTAGGGCATGCCTTGGTCTGATCATATTCTGCATAAGAGCTGATGCATGCACCTCATCAGCTCCTCGCCGCCACACTTGAATAGCTCGGCTGGTAGGCCGTCAGCTCCAGCAGCTTTGTTGTTTTTCAGCTGCGTAATCGCTATTCGCACCTCGTCATGGTCGACTCCATCGTCTTCGACTGGGGGCTCGGGTTCGCCTTCTCCACAACTTTCAGTGCTGCTGGCATTCAATAGGGTGGAAAAGTGCTCCCTCCATAATTTAAGTACGTTCTGGACATCAGTCTCTAGGTCGCCATGGTTGTTCTTACAGGAGTTCGCCCCGGTCTTGAAACCTTCCGTAAGTCGCCTAGCTCTCTGATAAAATTTTCGGGCGTTTCTCCTGTCGGCTAGCATCTCAAGCTCTTCGCACTCACGTATTTCGGCCCCTTTCTTCTTATTGCGGAAAATACGTCTCGCTTCGTTCTTCAGTTCCCTATAACGGTCCCACATGGCTCGCGTTGCGCCCGATCGCAGCGTGGCCCTATAGGCGGGGTCTTTTTTTTCTGCGGCTTCTTGAAATTCCTCATCGTACCAGTTGTTCTTTCGAGTTCGCTGAAATCCAACAACTTCTTCGGCGGCGGTACTTAATGATCGGGAAATGTGGTTCCACTGTTCGCGTATGTCGGATTGTTGAACAATGCTCTCAGAGAGCAGGTGTGTGAGTCGAGTGGCGAATAAATTGGCCGTCTGTTGTGATTGCAGCTTTTCGACGTTAAGCTTTCCTTGCATTGTTGGGCGCACATTTTTTGCTACACAGAGGCGGGTTCGTATCTTGGTTACACCAAGATAGTGGTCCGAGTCGATGTTTGGCACTCGGAGTATATGTACGTACGTCTAAAACGCTGGAGGCATGCCTTCCGTCTATCACAACATGGTCGATCTGGCTTCTCGTTTTTCGATCTGGAGGCAGCCGTGTAGCTTGGTGGATATTCTCTGGTTTGAACCCACGACCCGTCTATCAAAGTACAATTCTGATTAGATCAACTGCGCCGTTATTCCGGATCAACGTTGCCGTCTGTCTATGCTTTTACAATGCATCCCCTTTAATGTATCTTGAGTTTTAGGCCATTTCAACGTGTCGCAACTCGTTTTTGCTCAAACTTGTAATTGAATTTCTCTTTAACAATTACCTTGCCAAGTTTCATAATGTTAACACTTGAAGTCAGACATCAGATTATTACGAAACTAATTAAGTATAAAACTTAATTATATAATTTACACAAAAAATTGATAAGCCCTATCGCGAATTTCACGTGAACAAATACTCCCAAAAATTATGAAGTAAAACAAAAACAATTTTTCCCAATTTGTTTTTGTTTTGCGTGTTAAATTATGGGAACAATTTATTCACATGAAATTGGCGATAGGGCTGGATATTTTCCAAGAGTGACGAGTGGGACAACGATGACACTCGTCTTTCTGAGTTGAATGATTCATTTCCCAATTTTAGACAAAGTAAAAATATTTCGGTAATAGCGCTTTTATTGTTTGAAAATTAAAAAATATTTTAGCTTGTGACGGGTGGGAGGAGTCACTATTGAGGACACATAGTTCATGTGTAAAATGAACGCTAATGGTTTGATGTAAATATTTACTAAACTTTTAATAAGGGGGTCTTATTTGAACAATGGGAAGATTAAATAATTGTATGTTAAAAAAATACATATTTTGCTTTGACGGGTGGGAATTCCAATAAACGTTTCTGTAAACTCTTATAACTTCTCACCATAAATGTGTTTTTGTAATAACTTACCACTGTTGTAATGACCAGGAGTTGTACCTTTTTTATCGTTGTTTTTTTTTTGCATTGTCACCTTTAATACCCGAGGTATGCCTTGACAACTAGATGAAAAAATATTATATTAGACATAAATTACGTTCTCATTGAGTCATTAACTTGAATTTATGAGCCATTTTTGGAGTTTAACGCTAAATTCTGCTCTTACCATACAAACAATTTTCGTTAAACTCGCCTTAAACACCACTTTTATTTGGTGTTAACGGGCATGCAACCCTACATTTTGATTAAACTTGGCCTCACTGAGCAATTTTGAAAACCAAACTTTTGAAGCGGTTCAAGCCGGAAGATTGCCATCTCCCTTAAAATAAGTAAACAAATAAATATTTGGAGCTAAAATATTTTTGTAAGCATTTGGCCGCGCTTCTCCTCAAATTTGAGTTGTGAGTTCTGTTGTTGTAACACATATGGATGCACCTACATTTTTACTTTGACTCCGAACGGCAAATGGTTTTATGAGAAGGTTTTTCAATGCAGAAATACACTTAAAAGCCTGCCAAACGACAACTGCTATTTTGGATTATGCTTTGACCAGGGGTCTAACGTTGGGCCTACCGAGTAAAAGTACGCACCTGTAATCACTCTACAACGGCGGCCGCTAAAAGTACATACATGTTACATATGTATGTATCCCCTTATTTGTTCTCAAATGCAAGAAAACTACAATATGCTTGACGTTGATAAATAGTTTTAAAAATGTAGAATAACTTAAAATTTTTGTGTTTTAATAAAGTATTTATTTTGTAAATTATTATTTTAATATAAAGATATTAAAATTTTTATATTTGGCAACTCTTATAGTCTTGTCTCCATTAATAACAAATGACAGATGTAAACAAAATAAAAAAGAAAATATTGTTATTTTACAAATTTAAGGCAAACGGGCAAAATGTTCAAAGTGCACAGTATCCGACCACTCCCAAAATAAAGTAAATGGAGCAGAAGGGGTTTGGTATAGTTTTCCTGCTCGTAGTCCAAATTATCTGGTTTGCTTCATTTATGCTATTATTACAAAAATTCCGCTTTTGAAGAAAATATGTAATTTAAAGGTGATAGGATTTACATACGTACCTACATATCGCAGACTGGCGCGGAATAACTCGTGTGCTTCATATTCAATACCCCATAATAAACAATGTGGGCATTAATCGTTGATATTTTAATCAACTAGACGCTTTCATTAAACTTAATCGGACTAGAGTTAATCATGTGTAAAATAATTTTTACTAAACAGGTAATCGTAATCGTAATTAAAAAATATGTTTTGTACATATATGTAATACTCCTATATTGGCAGTAAGAGCTAGTACCGTCTGTTCACGATCCCCCTTTCCTACTTCGCGTTCGGCGCTCCTGTGTGTGCTAATGGAACAATTTGCCAACCTATGAGTATGTGTATTTGAG